AAATGTTGTTTGTGCCAGCCAAACAAACCTATATGGGGTAGTCGATCACCGTAGCGCGGGCTGTTGACTGGTCGGCGGGACGCTTCAACATTCATGTATGAGGGTCGTTCTTGGGGGATTTTGACCTCTGCGTGCTCGATATCCTGAAGAGATACAGATCTGAACGTTATTCAGCCTTGAGATGGGCATTTGTGTCCCAGGAGCGATATAGGCTGACTCGAGGACCGTCGCGCCCTCGGTCAGGTGTTACCCTATAAGGTATTGTTTGGCTGGGACAAACAGAAACGCGCGAAACGCAGTTTCCGGACTTTTATGCAAAGCACTGTATAAGCTATTACCTATGTGTACATGGATGACAGAGGCTTGTTGATTCCTGACAATCGACCACATAAAACATAAACCCAGGCAGAAGAGGAGCCGCCACAAATTGCCTTATCAAGGTGGTCCTCTCTCTTATGTGATGCTTTCGGGGTCCTGTTCACTTTAGGGGGTTGCCGTCGCGCGTTTTCTGGCCGTTGGCCCCTTGGTGCCGGCTCACCGAGTTCGCAGAGTGGCAGACTCCAGCCGGAGCGTCTCAACCTCGCATGACCAGTCTATCGCGAATCACTTGCGAATTGGAGTTGCCCTAGTATTTATCAGTACACCGGCTCTGATCATATTAAGCATTTCTTCACGGGTCGTGTGCTACTAGTATGAGGCACAACAAGGTACTACTAGTACACAGAATATCGAATGGTCGCCCACGTTCGGTTTGTATGTACTATCATTGGACCAGTAGTGAATAACTATTCACTTCCCGTCCCTTTTGTGCACTGGGGACCTTGTGGCTACCCTATACCTTCGGGAATTTTTCTCTGTAATGATAAATGTCTGTAGATGCCATGTTCAAGTTTGTATGTGGAACGGAGGAGTGGTCATCGTTCAGGATTTAAAACTGTCTTGCATCTCCGAGGTCTAAGCGTGACAGAGCGTGACCGCTGCCCCGCCACAGCCCTATTGTGACACGTGTGACATCTTATTCACTTCCCGTCCCCTTACGCCGTACAACCTCTACGCCCTCTGGAAAAATCTGAGAAATTTCCAGAGGGTATAGAATAGTATCTGAACCATTCACACCAATTCTGGGGTACGTGCAATCAGAGGAAGATGACTTAACTAGGGAACAGTTCAAATCATTCACTGCTGGTCCAATGATAGTAGTACCAGTGCCTCCACCATCCACCAAGGGTCTTGAGATGGTACGGCTTCTCCATCATCATATGTTCCTGATGAATGTCGTTAACCTCCGATGGCCCCTGATAACATAGCGCAGCATCAATCTCCAACTTCTTCATCATGGGGCACGGGGGAAAGCCCTATTGCCAGTGATGAAGGCTATAATTATACGACTCCGTAAACTCCGTGTGCGCTGCATATAATGCGCGCCTACCGTGCAGATCCGCTACCTTCCCCGCTATGGCCCAAGTACCTATAGACGAGGTGGGCCATGCTAGTCATATTTTTTTATCTGCTAAATGTATGAACTGGGGCATCAGGCGCATGCTCTCGCAACATGGCTATCATCTATCTTTCTAGGTAAGTAGACCCCTCTCCAGCGTCTTTCCGACGTGCTTACCGGGCTACTGCTTTCCTGGCAATCAGGCGCTCTCATCGTACTCTACTGTGCTTGTGTCTGGGTGTTGGTGTACAAAGCTGACCGCATGGGCCCCGTCAATATGCCAATGCTTTTCGCCGCCACCGCCATGACAGTCGTTGCGATGGTGCATAATGCTGTATCTGTTCAGCGCAATGTACAGGTATGTAACCCGTGGCAGGCTGTCGCCGGACATCTTAAGGTCTAACTCAATCTCGGACTTGTTACAGGCATTTTTCGGACACGTAGATGGCAACGCCGTAAAATATTTCATCCTCTCTTCGAATTTCCCGAACTTGTTCCAGTCGACTCTCTTCGTTATTCAAGTCCTGATTGGGGATTCGATGCTCGTAGGCTCAAGCAGCAATCTATCTACCCACCACATCACAGAATATTTTTTACAGATCTATCGATGCTATATTGTATACAGGCGCGACTGGCGTATCGTTGTGCCGCCAATCCTGATGTTCCTGGGCACTGTAGGCGAGTTGTCCAAGTTCACGGCAGTGTCCGAGGTTTTGTGCTAAAGCCATGCCAATACTTTCAGCGTGCGGAATCGAACTCGTATACCAGTTTTCCGTTGTGGATGCTCGTACGGTCACGAACGAAACATATTTTGGAAGTGACGTGGTATGTAAGAACGCAGCTATCAGAGACCGCCAAGCTAACGTTCCAGTCCAGCAACCATGGTCGACAGGCATGAAGGTTGTGGTGAGTTAAGGGGGACGTTGACATTTGCCATGGCGCCACTGACGCGGTCTCCTGAAGTCGATGGTCCAAAATATATTCTGCTCTTTCGCAATTGCCCTTCGCATATGGTGGATTGGTAGACACGGCGGCAGCAAAGTCTACTGGCGCTCAATTGAACTTATCCTCGAGAGCGGCATCATATACTTCCTTGTGGTGCTAATCCTCTTGATCCTGAATATCACGAAACAAAACACATACGCTATTCTCTACTACGTTCTGGTACCAGTCATTGTACGCATCGGCCTTCCTCTATTGGCTGAAGTGGATACTAATGGTTCTGCTATAGGGTATCATATTCACCGGCATCATCATCAGAGTAGGTCTGAGGGAGAGCTCGACAGTGAACTATGATTCCACATCTATCGCTGCCGACCCGAATCCAGCTCTGCGAATCACCTTCGCTGATCCCACAACCAGCGACACCTTTTACCCCGGGGTTCATGGCCCGAAGGCGAGGCGGACGAAAAGAGTCGTTAGGAAAGAGGTATCTACTTCGTCAATGGGCTCTCATCTCTCCCCGCAGAGTTCTTTCGCAGAAAAAGATGATCATGATGATAGCCATGAGGAGGCTATCGCGGTAGAACCTCGCGAGGAGGACCGCGCGCCCTGCTTGGAGCTAGGATTTTGATCTCTGAAGTACCACTAATATACTGCGACTTCAGTTTCTTCCGTGTGATTGTCTAATGATCTCTTTGTAACATTGTTATTTACTCCTTCCAAGCGATGCATGTTCCTCGTGCGGGACACCGAGCATCCCGGCAACCTGTGTGTGGCCGACAGTGACGGGAGTCAGAAAATATGTTTCAAGCTCGAAGTTCGACCACTGGGTAAGTATCAAAGATCAAGTTCACTCGCAAATATCCCATTCAATCAACTAACCCCGAGCCCCGCTCCTACCAGACCGATCGCCCATATCCAGGGAGACCGATCGATCAAAGAACTCAATCCACGAGGTGATACACCGAGTGTGAACACTCCACGAAACAATTGACCGACTATCGTTCACGCAGAGAGCTTCTTCCTCAATAGAGCATCGAAATTTAGCACGCCTCCCAGGATCACCTGGGCGCCGGTACTGCACTCCTCCGGGCTGGCGTATTCGGCTGGATTATGGCTGATGCCATCTTTACAGGGAGTGAACACCATGGCAGTCGGGCATACCAGGCGTGTGTACGACGAGTCGTGACCTGTCTCGAGATTAGGGTAACACTGGCCAATGACGCGTGGAAGTTACCTGTCATGTTCCCGATCCTAGTATAGTTGAAGCCCATTTCTTTCGCAGCGTCCTCTAGACATTGTACCGCGGTCTCGTCGAACCGATTAGGCTCGAGATCCCAGATCTTCTCGAGCGTAACGACCTCCAATTTATCCTCCTGAGCTGTGTTCCTGATGAACGCAAGTATACCCTCTTCCATCTTCCTCAACACCGCCAGGTTAGTGTGCTGTGCGCTGAAGCTAAAGTCGACTTTGTCGGGTATGTTGCAGAAGTTCTGAGGCGAGGATTTGAACAGCGACACGGTGGCCATACCCGTCTTGGACTCCCGGCCCACACGCTGAATCTCGACGACACATTTGGCGGCACCGGCCAGCGCGTCCCTTCGATCTTCCATGAACGTCGTGTCGGTATGCCGTGTAAACCCCCTCAGAGAGACATTGTACCACACCATGCCCTGGCTACTATCGACGATTCCCACCTCTTTGCCTGCTTTCTCCAGCCTCGACCCCTGTTCGATATGGATCTCGAAATGCGCGCTAAGGGGGTTGGTCCGGTGGGATGCTTCCACTTCACCCGCGTAGCCGATACGTTTGAGCTCGTCCCCGATTGTTATTGACCGATTAACTGTGTCTGTGCATCTGTGGGCGTCCTCCAGGGACAGTTGCCCGGCCCAAACGGAGGAAGCCATGCAAGCTGGAGGAAAGCGAGCGCCTTCTTCGTTGGTCCAGCTGACCGCTCCTCAGCTGAACGTTCTATTACGCAACGAAATGAGCTTACTTGATAACTGCCAAAGGTGCATACATCCCCTTTCCAGACGATTTAGCAGCCGTGATCACTCGAGCAACTTCGAGTCCTGTCAGACTAGACATATAGGTTCAGCCTGGCATGAGTATATAGGTTCTGTGCACACGAGACAGTCTTACACTCCAAGAGGCCCGTCGTATCTACCACCTGTCTGAACGCTGTCAAGGTGGCTACCTACCGCAATGGGCGGGATGTCGTTATTCTCTCCAGGGAAGATAGCCCATTGGGAGCCCATCTTGTCCACGAAATATTTCACGTTCGGGTCGATGGCCCGCACCTCCTTTGCGAACCAATCTCGGACGACCTTGTCAGGGTCTGAGCACGATAGCCGGTGCAGACCGCCGTCCGGCGTCGCACCTGCCATATCAGCGGTAGCTTGGATTTCAGTGCTGAAGATGGAGAGCAATCTGTCACGTATGCCGATGCGCTATGCAGTCTACGACACATACAAGAGCCGTTCTCGAGAAACAGCCAGCCCTCCCAATGGGGCTGTCAGAGATAAGGTCGTGCTGAAGCCACGAGCTATGTAAGGCTTTGATGGCATCCATGTCGACTTGGGGGAGCGACAGGTTACCCTGGTAGGGCGAATGAGACGTATGGACGCAAGCATGACCAAGAATGACCTGAGAGCCAAGGAGAGACGCTGTTATCTGCTACAGAGTAGGGTACCCAAGGAGTGCTTTGAGCTGCTATCACGGAGCTAAACATAGGAAGACGGTCGTGACCCTGCTTCGTGCGAGATACCAATGAAAGCATTGATCATAACCTATTCGTGGATATCCGAAGTCAAGGAAATCTTTTGAAATAGTCCAGGAGCCTATGGGGCGTTTGCTGTGGTCATCTGGCATTTGAGAAGCGTGCCTCGTCACTATGGCGGAAGTAACGATACGGGTGGCGCACTCTGACATGAGGTAAAGGTCTCTGTGCTTTCCGAGCTGCGACTGATTAGACAACAGTAGGACGTGAGATAGACGTGCTCGAGGTTCAGATCTCAGAGTCTGCGAGTGAGGGAGGACATCCAGCTACACATCGAGCAACCGATAATATGACACGCGGTGGCATTCAGTCCCATATGTCAATACAATATTGTGAATTCCACACAACCACCATATACAGTCATATACTCCCCATATGGGAGCTGAGCCACAGACGATCCCCTACAACGGTAATGTCAGGGAATATCAAATAGAAACAAATGCATTACCATATTTGAATATCAATTTCCGCAGATATACCCAGTGATAGAGCAAATATGGATAAATATATGGAACAATGGGGAAGTCCGGTTTTTGGCCTGATACAGTACAATGAATCATAGCTAAAATATCAAAGCACATCTCGGGTTGATAGCGAATCCGGAATATGGATGCAAATAGCGTAACACATAGCATAAAGGTGCGATATACCTGATTCGGGATCGTCCGGTATATAATCGGGCCGCCGACGGGCCGCCAGTGGCTGCATCGGCAAGCCACTCAATAGCCGGCGGCGGCCCACCGGCGGCTAAGAGCGGCTGGGAGAGCGGCTCGCAGCCTGGTACGGGCGCAACCGACTTGTATGCCTAGTTCTAAGATAGTGTTTGTGTTCAGCGGAGCTATATGGGAGATGATGAAGTGGACTTACCTGAGATAACATGAGTACAACAGCAAGCTCGTCCGTCAGAGGGAATCGAGCAAAATGACAGAGCACTCGTGTCGGATCAACCTCCTCCAGATCGTCTGCGAGCTGCAACAAATAAACCTCAGCAGGATAATGATCTCTCCATTTCCGGGAAA